GTGCGGCCGCCATCCCCAGCACCAGGTCGGCATGCAGCAGATCGCCCACCCCTGCAGGTGAGTAGGGCGACCTGGGTTGTTGGGGCCACGTTGTACCGCTCGAGCGGCATTTCACGCACGGAGTTCGCCAGGGCGTTGGGCATGCTCAACGCTGCAACGAAGTCATGAATGTGCCGTTGTACTGGAGAAAGTCTTCCGCACATGGCCAGGCCTCAATCTGGAACCTGAGCTTAGGCGATGGTTTTGGTCGAGTGACGAGGCCATCGAGCAGCTCTTTCAGCTGATCAGCGCGTTTCTTGTCGGCTCTTTTGATGAGGTCGTCAGGGTCGTTGATCTGTTTGCGCATGGAGGCGGCTTCAGTACTTCTCTCGGCGAGGTATCCCCGGAACTGCGTCTTGACCGCCTCGGCCTCAGCCAGCATTTGCACCAAGCCATGAATGTCCTCCCTCGCTTTACGCAGCTGCAGGTTCAGTTCCTGGATCTCATTCTCCAGTAGGCGGGCGTGCTGTTTATGTGCATTTCGAGAGGCGTGGGGATGCCAAGCCACCCGCAGGTGTCTTCGTCGATGTTCATAGTATGTAATCCGCATGCTGTATGTGCATACAGTATTCGAGGATTTGGTAAGGCGGAAGGTTTGAGGCGACGAAATGCAGGCTTACCCGACGATCAGTCAGGCGCTAGGGAGGACAGCCAGGGTCAGCTTGATGAACTCTTCGTTCTCATCAATGGTGTGTAGAGCGCCGCGGATGTTCTCGGCCACGTCGGCGGAGCCGCGTTGCTCCACCCAGTTCGATAGCTCCATGATCGAGGCTTCGAGGGCCAGCTGGTTTTCGTACAACTTGGAGAGCAGGGAAGGGAGCAGGTCTGAGTTGGGCATCGGCGTTCCTCTTGTGGAGTGAACAGCGTAGCAGTTGGTGCTTGGGATCCCATTCTAAGGTCATGAGTGGCCGCTCTCGACCCAAAGCGGACATTGGACAGAAAGTAAGCAGTAACGAATTTTTCACTGTGGCTCTAATTCTGACCATAAACAACTGCGCCCAATGCCGGCCATTAACGTACCGTAGTCTTCAAAATTACTGGCACTCACCTCATCCTGGCTCGTCCACGTGGCTTCACACTCTTCGCACACCCACAGCGAAATATTTGTGGAGCGCACCCGCATTGCTCGAACGTAACCTTGGTTGCACCTTTGGCACTCAATCAGCATACAAATAATCTCTGACAGGACTTCGGTGTAGTCTAATCCTATCGGCTGCTTATGGCCGATCTCTGCCTGTCGCGAGGGCCGTAATCGACTCAGAGCGGATCCTCAGACATTCAAACCAAACGAGTAGATAATCGACTGCTATTCCAGCCATTTCAAGTGCGTATGAACAACGAATTTTCCCAGCGCGAATCTACCGGCAGCAGTACAGCATATAACCTTGCGCAGGCCCACGGTGCCCGGCCCCTGTCCGTTGATGGCTATCATCAAACGGTAGAACTGTGCGGTCGCGTGGCCTGCGGCTGGCTGTTCCGCTACAGGATCATTTGCAGCTTGGACATCCCAGCGCATGACCAAGAGTCATTCGCTGGCGCTGTAGGTTGCTTGGTTGCTGACGACGGAGAGATACGTGATCTCTCAGGTCCGATGTTCATGGACATGCTTCATATGCTGGCATCGCTCTCGGGACCACCTTGACCGAACTCTGCCGTTCACTATGGGCGGGAGTCGGCCAAAAGCGGACGCTTAAGAGCGGCAGCTTCCGGCCCAGAGTGTGTAAAAACACTTTCTTATCGTGCGTGCTTCAGTCCATTGCTCCTGGGCGTGGCGAGTTACCACGATCAGCGCCGGTAACGCTTCAGAGCGCGTATGAAGCGCTTTGGCACCTCTTGGGGCAGTAAAAGCTGGGCTTTTACGCCGCCATCGCCTTCAACAAGCCTTCGGTGCCGATGATTTTCATCACCCGCTTCAAGTTGTAGGCGAGCACATTCAAGCTCATTTCTGCGCTCACCCCGTTCAGTTTTCGAGTCAGGAAGTGCGTTGCCCCCATCCATTGTTTGAGCGTCCCGAAGGGATGCTCAACAGTCCGTTTTCGAGCGCGCATCATCTCCGGTGCTTGGTTCAGCCGGCGCTGCATTTCCTCCAGCACAGCTTCATGTTCCCAGCGCTTTATTCGACGATTTGTGCTTGGCGTGCACTGGGTTTTCAGCGTGCAACTCTGACACTTTGAACTCCAGTAGCAGTGCATATTCATGCCTTTCTCAACGCTGGAGAATCGCCAGATCAGTGCCTCTCCCGCTGGGCATGTGTATTCGTCTTTCGTCGGGTCATACACGAAGGCATCTTTGTTAAATCGGCCATCAGCCTTGGCGCTTGAAGTCATTGGCTTAGGCACGTAGGCCGTGATGTTTGCGTTGTGACAGGCAAGGATTTCTTCACCCTTGAAGTAGCCTCGGTCAGCCACCACGGACAGCGTTTCTACGCCGATAGCTTCACGAGCCTGCTTCGCCATTGAACTGAGTTGGTCACGGTCTGAACCGCTGTTGGTGACCTCATGAGCAACTATTAAATGGTGCTGCGTATCGACAGCCGTTTGCACGTTGTAGCCGACGATACCGCTGCCGCGCGTCATCATCGAGCGGGCATCCGGGTCGGTCAGCGACACCTGTTTATCCGGGGAATCGTTGAGCTGAGTTTCGACCTCTTGAAGCTCTTTCATCTGCGCTTTGAGCTTGGCGATTTTATCTTCTAGGCTGGCAGTGTCTGCCGCGGAGGCGCTAGGAATCTGTTGATCAGCCACATCGAGCGCAGCCAAATAACGGCTGATGCTCGCCTCGATTTCTTCCATGCGCCGCTTCAGTTTGGCGCTGGTGAAATTGCGGTCACGGTTGTTCACTGCCTTGAATTTGCTGCCGTCGATGGCAACCAAGTTTTCGCCAAACAAGCCCAACTGCTGGCAGAGCAAAACGAACTGGCGGCAGACGCCGCGAATGGCCTTGCTGTTGTCTTTTCGGAAGTTGGCGATGGTCTTGAAATCGGGCATCAAACGCCCGGTTAGCCACATGAGTTCGACGTTGCGTTGGGCTTCTCGCTCAAGACGTCGGCTCGATTGAATGCGGTTTAGGTAACCGTAGATGTAGATCTTCAGCAGGATCGCCGGGTGGTAGGCAGGCCTGCCGGTTTCGGCTGGAATGACGCCATCAAAACCTAGCTTGGCCAAATCGAGTTCATCGACGAAAACGTCAACCACTCGAACCGGATTGGTATCGCTGACGTAGTCGTCGAGGCTTTGGGGAAGTAAGGTACTTTGACCTCGGTGTTCACCCTGGATAAACCGTTTCATGGGCGTCCCTTGCGATGAAATTCTCGGAAATCATAGCAAGGGTTTACCGGAACGTTTTTACACACTCTGGGCCAATAAGGGTCAGTCGAATGATCAAATATAGACGGCCAAAAGCAGCATGGTGCGAATCAAATCTGGCAGGGTGATCCCGTTTTAAAGAGAACACATTACTCATGCGTCTTTCGCCACCGTATTTGCCAGCAATCGCTCCGTGACAGTCTTCGACACTTCGCCTAAAGAAACGCACTGCTGAAAAGTTGACGCCAGCAGTGCAATCGAGGGAGGTTAATTTGCCTGCTGCGCCGTCGGCACTTTCCAGCTGTTGTCCAGAACAGCTTGTTGCGGGCGATACATCCGGAATAGGTAATTCCATCCTGGCATGATCGGCAGGTAGTTCACCGCAGTGGTATCGCCGCCACCGAAGTGAATCGTCACCGAGCCATCGGCGTTCGGTTTCGCCGTGACGTTGTTGACGGTGTAGGCATTCTGCGGGTTTTTCTCGAAGAATCCGGACTTGTTATAAACACTTACCGACCAAAAACCGTCTACGGGGACGTTCTTGACTGTGAGTGCGTAGGCGGTCTTGCCATCGTTCTGAGCCGGAGCTGCCCCCGTGTACATCGCAGCAGTTCGAGGGTTTCCGCCCCAGCCCGCAGCGGTTCCTAGCAGGTGCTGCACGGGATCGACCTGTTCCTTGCTACCGAACATGCGATCCGAATCGATCCCACCGGCAGCCTCGACCACGCTAAGCAACGCTTTGCGCATTTTGTCCCGCGAGGCGGCGTCCCACTCTGGAACGACGAAGGTTCCGACAGACTTCTGCTCAACTTTCACCGCGTCCTGCAACTCGTGCACGGTCTTGAGATCCGCCGCGCTATTGGGGTCGACAAAGGTACGAATCGCCAAAGCCACGTAGCGTGTTCCGACTTGCTCCTTGGTGATGATGTGTTTGCCCGGTGCGTAAAACACCTCGGGGGCATAGTGATCTTCGCTGATGACTTGCAGCGCCATATAGCGCTTTCCTGCATCGGGCAGGGTTACGGTCACCGGTGAAGCCTCAAGGTCGAATACGCCAAACGAGTACAGAGTGTCACGGTTCAACCGAATCACGGTCTGGTGATCGATGGACGCCAACTCGCGCGTGTGGCTGAATTTGCCGAAGCCACCGTCCCTGACGAAATTGCTGAAGTACATATCTGATTCAGCACGAGCAAAGTTGGCTGCCGTCACCGTTTGCGTTTTCGCCTCCTTGGCAGTTGCAGTCAACGTCCAGCCCAAGATGGCCAGGATCAGGGCAGTTTGCATAATTCGAACTTGCATATATCGCTCCTTGCTATGCGGAATATGGAGTATCCGGGCGTTGATGTCATGCGAGAACATCGGGACATACTTGCGAAAGCCGTCTCTTTGTAGCCTTGTGGACCCGACCGTGCCCTATGCAGCGATATGTTCGAAACACCAAGACAGAACACTTTCTTTTTTTGGATTACAGAAATGTAGCTTATGGATTGAGTTTCGCTACAAGGCGAGCCTGATTGGCCCGGGTCAGACACGCAACGGGGGAGTGTTGATCGAACAGATCAGTAACAGTGAGTCTAGTGAGCTCATTTGAATGACCACTTCTGGCCGGTGGCTGCCCTTCATGAGCAGCGGATTTCGACCCAAAGGAGACCGTTGCGTAATATAACTAACCAGACAGAGGTATGACCAAGGATAACCAGGTGTTCCAGCCCTCTGGCCGATTCTCTGCATCAAACTCGTAGTAGCCTTTTAGGTTGACGTACCAGAGGTCTTTGCCGACCTTGAAGAAATGCCCGGCTTGGGGTCCTACGGCGCTGACTTTTGATTTGAAGTCGCCCAAGGTGGCACCGCTACCGCTATCCCCTGTGATCTGATTGTAGAAGTAACCAACCACGCCCAACTGAGTCTGGCTTGTGATGAAGTGCGAGGCACTCCAGTCCACGTGAGCATCTACGCCATTTTTATAATGGGTATCTGGGTTCTCCCAGTTGTAGGTCAGGCCCGCTACGACGGAAAACTCGTTGGTTTTGTCGAAATATGTGTATCCACCGCCGGCGTCAAGCGATGCATGGCCAAGTCCGATGTTCACCAATCGATCCGGGTCATACGCGCCGACTGGCAGGTTACCCATGCTGTAAGCCATGAAGTTGTGAACGCCATAGTTCCATTTCAGAGTGCCCAACAAGTAGACGTCGCTTGCACCCTTCAAACTGTCGTTCGCTCCACCGGAAAAGCTTCTGCCACGGGGACCGGTCAATGTCGCATCCACGCTCGCTTCGGATTTCCCAACGGCGGCTACCATCGAGATTGCAGCTTGAGCCCCTAGCAACGGTTCGGTGAATGTGTAGGTCGGGCTGGCAAACAGCAGATCAGCTTTTGCATCCAACCCAAGTGTGGTTCGCCCCCTCTGGGGAATGGCTTGCTGCCGCCGTCGCTGGCGTTAACGTGGTAATAGACAAGTGGAAGACTCCAGCCTGGGGCAGTTGGCGCCGCCGCCAGCGTACCGAATTGGCCCGGGAGCCAGAAACTAATGCCGCCGTCATCAGCGTTCACGGTAAAAGCAGTAAGTAAGGCAAGAACGCCAATCAGTCTTCTTGTAGTCATCAGGAGGCTCTTTCAGGCGGACGATGATGATTTTTACGATTGTGGTAATCGAGTTAAGAACGCACTGAAAATTAGCTTAGGCGAATTTACATTTTTCGCAGGTTGCTGCCACGAGCGGCCGCAATTGGCCGATTGCTGCCTCTTGCGAAGGGCTGCAGTCGACCTAAAGCTGTCGGTTAAGAATGCCGAAGACATGAGTGCATTAATGTACTCATGTCGTCCAGACGCATCTCAGATCATTGTTTGATCAAGTCCCCCGGTTTCCATGCCTTGTCGAAGAACGCCTTGGTCGGGCCATATAACCGCAGAATCACGAAGTAGCCTTCGCCCGGCAGGGTTTTGATCCAGTTTTTGCCGGAGCCCGGTGAGTTCGGGCCGAAATGCACATCGATCGAGCCGTCGGCGTTGGTGACGGGCTTGTCCATGGTGTTCAGCGACGGGAACGGCTGGCCGTTATCCAGGCCTGATGCAGTGATCGAGTCATACGCCGTCACCGACCAGAACAACGCCGCAGGAATGCCTTTGGGCAGGTTCAGCAAGTAGCTGTTGCTGCCAGAAAGGAATTGGCCTTTGGCATCGACGAAAGTGGCCGGGTACTTGGCACCGACGTTTTCCATGTTCACCGCCATGCCCGGACTCGCCGAGTAGGCATTGGTGAAAAACCGGTGCGCGGGTCGATGTAATTGAAGGTGTCGGCGGTGAACGTCGCATTGCCGGGGAATACGTTCAACCACTTGCGATCCGGATACCAGGTGCCATTGGCGACAATGGTTTGCGGCGTGTAAGAAATGGCATGGCCGATCTTGCTCGCGGTTTTCGCTGCCTTGTCGAGCAGGTCGCGGGTGGCAGGCTCCGGTTTGAACGGTTTGCCTTTGACGATGCCCAGAGCGGCGAGCATGCCGCGCATTTCCATGTCTTGCGGGTCAACGTATTCGTGATCGATGAACCGCGACAGCATGTCGAACGCACCGCCGTCGGAGGGGTAGAGCATGTTGACCGGAGTTTTCGAGGCGTTGGGGAATTCCATCGCTTTGGCCGTGGCCTGTTTGCCCAGCGGATAGATGCGCGTCTGCTCCATGACTGCGACCGGTGCCTCCAGTTGTTTCGGGTCCTTGAAGAATCCGCGCCAGAACACGAACACACCGTAAGTGCGCGAGCGGTAAGTCAGGTAGCCCGGCGGTACCTCGCCCTTGTAGTCCGGTGGCAGCACCAGATACTTGGCGCCCTTGCCTTTGTCCGGTCCCGGCAGCCCGACATCACCACACCATTGGCGAGCTTCGATCTGGCCCTCGGAGCAGATCGGCCGTTGGAAGAAGTCATCGAGAATGCCCTGCAAGCCTGGCGGGACTTCGATCACCATCGGGCCGTCCTGCTTGAGATCCAGATAGCCCATGGCATAGATCACGTCGGAATTGGGCGTGGTGACGCGGGTCTTGGCGTTGAGGCGATCCTTCCAGATCGGCAGCACGTTGTAGCCGGCACCGAAGGTTTTTTCCGAGCCTTCTTTCATGGCGTACATGTTCAACGCCGGCAGTGCCCAGATGTACGACTGCACGGCGCGCTGGAACAGCAATTCGTTTTGCAGTTGTGCCACGCCCTCCAGTGTCGGGTAGCCGCCGGCAAACGGCAGATCGGCCAACTGCTCATAGTGCGTGGCGGCTTGGGCGCCGAGGCTGATCGACAAGGCCAGGCCCGTTGCAGTCAGTGATTTTGCAAATGTGTTCATCGCGAACGTCCCTGTTCCTGTTAATTGGTTTTAACTACGGCTGGCGGCACCCACTGGCCATTCAGCGCAGCCGGTTCAGGCCAGTAAGCTCGGATGTACAGTGAGAAATCGGCGCCTTTGGGGGTTGGCAGCCAATTGCTTTCCTTGTCCTTGCCCGGTGATTCGCTCTGCACGTAAATCGTCAGCGAACCATCGGCATTGGCTTGCAGGGTTTTGTTCTTGGTGCCGATTGAGTAGCGCTTGAGGTCATTCGGGGAAAAGAAGTGCTGCTCGTTGTACAGCGTCAGCGACCAGAAGCCTTTCACCGGCGGCAGTTGTCCCTTGGCAAAGGTCACGGAGTAGCTGTTCTGCCCATTGAGACGCGTGCCGGACTTGTCTAGGTCCTGATAGAAGTACTTGGTCTCTTTCTGTTGATTGACGAAGATGTTCGAGCGCGCCACGGCGGTTCGGCTGAAGTAGTCGGTGCCAAACGCTGCACCGTTGCTGATGGTGCTCCAGTGATCCGGCAGTTGCAGGCCGTAGTTGCGGAACTGCAACAGCGGATCGATCACTTCGCTGTCGGCTTTTTTCGCTTCATCGATCATCGCCGCCTTCAGTTGCGGATCAGCCTTGGCGATGGCCGCGAGGGAGGCCATTTGCGCGTAACGGGCTTCTTCGCCCGGCAACGGTTTGGCGTCCTTGAGTAGCGCCGGCAACTCGTCGAAGAATTTCTCCGGCATCACCCATTTGGTTTCGCCGCTGCCCGCCGCCTGCGCGGGGAATTTTGGCAGTTTCGCCCAGTCCCGGTGTTTGATCTTGCCGTCGTATTGCGACAACGGGTACATGTCCACGCCCGACAGCGACGCTTGAATGGCTGTGCGGTCGGCTGCGGTATCGTCCTGGAACACTCGGGGAATCACGAAGCCGGTGCTGGTACGTGCCCGAAAGACTTTGGTGATGCCCGCAGGCACCTTGCCATTCCAGTCAGGGCCAACCAGCAGATAGAAGCCGGGTTTGCTGCCGTACATCTTGCCGAGTTCGGCAAAGCTATCGGAGCGTAGATCCACCACCTGATACACCCAAAAACGGCTGCCGAAGTCCGGCACTTGCAGCACGACCGGTTCCAGATCCAGCGCGATGCTGCCCGCGCCGTACACCACATCCTGATTCGGGCATGCGACCAGCCGTTCCGCCGGATCAATGTAATCACTGAGCATCGACAGTCGATTGATTGGCGCGACCGGAACGATGCCACCCATCAAGCCCGGTTCGGGCAGGTCTTTGAAGGCCTGGCGACGGTTGAAAATATTGGCCATCGGCCAACCCCAGAAATACGCTTCGCGCGCCATCATGCGCACATAGGGTTCGGTGACCTTGGTGCCGGCGACAGGCCCGGCAACGGAAGCTTCGCCAGCGTAGCTGGGTGGCACCAGCAGGGATGTGGTTGCCAATGCACCGAGCAGTGTCAGTGCGAACAAGTTCAGGCGATGGGGTGATTGATTCATAAAAGCATCCTTACTTGCGGGATCACCTTTTGCTGGTGAGTCGCAGGAAAGATAGCTCAAGTTTGGTGGGGTGACGCTTGATCGGCTTGAACGTCAGTTTTTGGCCGTTTTCAGCCGGTCACCACAGGCAGAAAACGGCCAAAAGCAGTCATTCAGGCGCGTCTAGGAAATCAGGGGCGATTCACACGCCCTCTAAACTCCGTCATCAAGAGCGATAGTCCCGCCCACGTTTACGAGCCTCTAGCTTTACCCTTTTCATCCGTGAGCAGGAGAACTTGTGCGCTACAGTCTGTGAAAGGCTGGGCTACTTAGTCCCGTGAGTGAGCTGCCTCGCAGGGCTGAGACTTGGTATATTCAGCGGCTTGATGGCAATGTATGGCACTGCCCTTGCCTAACGTTAAGATAGTGGCTGCGGTGCATTTAGAGGCGCCGCAGGGAAGTAGGGCTCGGGGAGCAGCGCGTGACGAATTATGTAGAATATTTATCTTGGTTGGCCGGTATCGCTGCGGGGGGCATTACTTTGTGGCAGGCAGGTTTAGGCGCTATGAAATTCTGGAGGCGTAAGCCTGCCGATGGCACGGGATCGAAAGCGGGCGTTCCCATGCCCCGCGGTAACCAGCGGCAAAGCGCCGGAGCTAATAGTACGCAAATTCACTCCGTCACTGGCAACATTACGATCAACCATATGGCATCGTCTACTGCGGCTCCTGCCGCTGCTCCAATTTCCCCAGATGTTGTAGTGGCTGTTCCGGGTAAGTGGGACAAAGCATTAGCGTGCGCAATTGCTCTACAGAAGATCGAGGATGCTGACTGGCCTTCTATCGGGATTCATGAAACGCCAGATCACGTTTCTATAAATGTCTATTCCCTGATCTACAGGGATGGCAAGGAAGGGCGGGTTCTAGTGTATGCCTCCACGCCTCTTGGTAACGATTGCCATGCATGTGCACCGTATTTGAGCTTCTTTGAATTCGATAAAGTGATTGGTGGGTGGGATCTTTCTACCTTCAGCATCGCTGCGGTACAGGACGGTGCCTGGGGGAACCGCCGATGATCGCGGTGCAGCTTATCGCGGATGCCAGGTACGGTGTTCTATTGAAGAGTAGCGATATGGCACAGGGTTGGGGCGTCACAACCCTAAAAATATACACGAAGCTTGGGGATAGTTTTGATGAGGTATTGGAGCTCATGTACGAGCAGCACAATCCTGATGGATTGGGCTGGAAGAGCGAGCTGGCCTTCCGACCAAGTGCTGCGCCATTTTACGAAATTGATGTTCGCCGGTCAGGTAATCTGATGAAGTTTCTTGAAGGGCCTGATAGGTATCGGGAAGGTGTTGCAGATTGGTCAGGTAACGTAAGGCCTGCCGATACTCTCAGGTTCGATGGTCGACGTTACACACCTGAGGCTTTCATCTCCTAACTCTGGCTTAGCTGGGTCGCAACTGAATAAACCGTCCCCGAGTTGATAGACCGGTTTTGGCCGAAAGGAGCCATTCACTGGCATCGATGATGGATCGGAGCTATGAAAAATAAATCTCAACAAAATCAGATGCTTGATTAAAATATTTATGTTCCTGTAGTAAAAAATGCAGCAGCTCTGGCGGAGTACTGACCGCTCTTTTGCCTTTCTGGCTGCAGGTAGATGGCATCCTCCAACAATAGGGCTCGATGCCGTCTGTCGGTACGTGGCAGACGACACATCACGCAGCACAAGAAATCGCCCGTCCGGGCAAAAGGGCTGTGCCATCGACCTGCCATCGTCTACATTGAGCGCGCTGGCCCCTTGACCTTGGTGAATAATGCATGGATGACGTCTACAAAATTCTGATTGCTGCAGTGGTAGGCTTCGCGCTTAATCCGGTTACAGAAAAAATCAAATTGAGCATCGCCGCACGCGACAACAAAAAGAAAATAATAAATAAACTAAATATATCTAAAGACATACTCGCCAACGCCATTAGCACGCTCAATAGAACATGCAGCCTCCGGGAAGCATACATCAATCAGGACGACCATAATCATTCGGTATTTCTCCTTCCGTTCATAAAAACCCCCTAACCTCCATGACGACTTTGAGAAGTGCTATCTATCACTAAGCAAAGAACAGAGAAAAATTATTGAAGTAGTTATTTACGGGCTAGTGCATGTAACCAAGCTTGAAAGTAAAGCCGAGAAGTTTGATGAAAGCCTAAAAGACGTTTTGAACGAAACAAAGTACACCGACGTAAAAGAAATAAAGGCGGCTCACGATAGGTATTACAAACGAATTCTTGCATGTGAAAAAGCCATGCTTTACTCGCTTGTAAACATACGAAAAAATCTTGAGCTAGCGATTAATGATAAACCACAGCAAAATACCGATGCTGAAAATTTTGCCAGTACCAGCGAAGAGCTTGGGATAAGTTTCAACCTATCTTGGTGGCCACATCTTCACCCCGAGCAAAACGTCTCACCGACTGACATCACAGACGTCGACCGAATCTGACAGTGGTGGCCCAGTATGCTGAATAGCCCCAAGTTTCGTAGAAACCCGACGGCCGCTTTTGGCCGATAGCTGCCTGTCGTTACTTTTGTGCGGTGGGCCAGTGTGTGAAGCGACTGCGACGATGCTGGCCAACAAAGATTGGGTCGAAAATCAGTTCCGCAATGTAAAATGAGCGTGACGTCTGTGGTGAAGTCGGTGAGACGTTTTAGCTCGGGGGAAGATGTAGCCTGAATGAGTTGGAAACTTATCCCAAGCTCTTCGCTGGTACTGGCAAAATTTTCAGCATCGGTATTTGCTGTGGTTTATCATTAATCGCTAGCTCAAGATTTTTTTTCGTATGTTTACAAGCGAGTAAAACATGGCTTTTTCACATGCAGAATTCGTTTGTAATACCTATCGTGAGCCGCCTTTATTTCTTTACGTCGGTGTGTACTTTGTTTCGTTCAAAACGTCTTTTAGGCTTTCATCAAACTTCGCGGCTTACTTTCAAGCTTGGTTACATGCACTAGCCCGTAAATAACTACTTCAATAATTTTTCTCTCGTTCTTTGCTTAGTGATAGATGGCACTTCTCAAAGTCGTCATGGAGGTTAGGGTTTTTATGAACGGAAGGAGAAATACCGAATGATTATGGTCGTCCTGATTGATGTATGCTTCCCGGAGGCTGCATGTTCTATTGAGCGTGCTAATGGCGTTTGGCGAGTATGTCTTTAGATATATTTAGTTTATTTATTATTTCTTTTTGTTGTCGCGTGCGGCGATGCTTAATTTGATTTTTTTCTGTAACCGGATTAAGCGCGAAGCCTACCACTGCAGCAATCAGAATTTTGTAGGACGTCACTCCATGCATTATTCACCAAGGTCAAGGGGCCAGCGCGCTCAATGTAGACGATGGCAGGTCGATGGTACAGCCCTTTTGCCCGGACGGGCGATTTCTTGTGCTGCGTGATGTGTCGTCTGCCACGTACCGACAGACGGCCTCGAGCCCTATTTTGCGAGTATTCCATCTACCCGCAGCCAGAAAGGCAAAGAGCGGTCAGTACTCCGCCCGAGCTGCTGCATTTTTTACTACAGGAACATAAATATTTTAATCAAGCATCTGATTTGTTGAGATTTATTTTTCATAGCTCCGATCCATCTATCGATGCCAGTGAATGGCTCCTTTCGGCCAAAACCGGTCTATCAACCGGGGACGGTTTATTCAGTTGCGACCCAGCTAAGCCAGAGTTAGGAGATGAAGCCTCAGGTGTATAACGTCGACCATCGAACCTGAGAGTATCGGCAGGCCTTACGTTACCTGAGCAATCTGCAACACCTTACCTGATACTACCTATCAGGCCTTCAAGAAACTTCATCAATTACCTGACCGGCGAACATCAATTTCGTAAAATGGCGCAGCACTTGGTCGGAAGGCCAGCTCGCTCTTCCAGCCCAATCCATCAGGATTGTGCTGCTCGTACATGAGCTCCAATACCTCATCAAAACTATCCCCAAGCTTCGTGTATATTTTTAGGGTTGTGACGCCCCAACCCTGTGCCATATCGCTACTCTTCAATAGAACACCGTACCTGGCATCCGCGATAAGCTGCACCGCGATCATCGGCGGTTCCCCCAGGCACCGTCCTGTACCGCAGCGATGCTGAAGGTAGAAAGATCCCACCCACCAATCACTTTATCGAATTCAAAGAAGCTCAAATACGGTGCACATGCATGGCAATCGTTACCAAGAGGCGTGGAGGCATACACTAGAACCCGCCCTTCCTTGCCATCCCTGTAGATCAGGGAATAGACATTTATAGAAACGTGATCTGGCGTTTCATGAATCCCGATAGAAGGCCAGTCAGCATCCTCGATCTTCTGTAGAGCAATTGCGCACGCTAATGCTTTGTCCCACTTACCCGGAACAGCCACTACAACATCTGGGAAATGGAGCAGCGGCAGGAGCCGCGGTGGACGATGCCATATGGTTGATCGTAATGTTGCCAGTGACGGAGTGAATTTGCGTACTATTAGCTCCGGCGCTTTGCCGCTGGTTACCGCGGGCATGGGAACGCCCGCTTTCGATCCCGTGCCATCGGCAGGCTTACGCCTCCAGAATTTCATAGCGCCTAAACCTGCCTGCCACAAAGTAATGCCCCCGCAGCGATACCGGCCAACCAAGATAAATATTCTACATAATTCGTCACGCGCTGCTCCCCGAGCCCTACTTCCTGCGGCGCCCTAAATGCACCGCAGCCACTATCTTAACGTTAGGCAAGGGCAGTGCCATACATTGCCATCAAGCCGCTGAATATACCAAGTCTCAGCCCTGCGAGGCAGCTCACTCACGGGACTAAGTAGCCCAGCCTTTCACAGACTGCAGCGCACAAGTTCTCCTGCTCACGGATGAAAAGGGTAAAGCTAGAGGCTCGTAAACGTGGGCGGGACTATCGCTCTTGATGACGGAGTTTAGAGGGCGTGTGAATCGCCCCTGATTTCCTAGACGCGCCTGAATGACTGCTTTTGGCCGTTTTCTGCCTGTGGTGACCGGCTGAAAACGGCCAAAAACTGACGTCTGCCGATCAAGCGTCACCCCACCAAACTTGAGCTATCTTTCCTGCGACTCACCAGCAAAAGGTGATCCCGCAAGTAAGGATGCTTTTATGAATCAATCACCCCATCGCCTGAACTTGTTCGCACTGACACTGCTCGGTGCATTGGCAACCACATCCCTGCTGGTGCCACCCAGCTACGCTGGCGAAGCTTCCGTTGCCGGGCCTGTCGCCGGCACCAAGGTCACCGAACCCTATGTGCGCATGATGGCGCGCGAAGCGTATTTCCGGGGTTGGCCGATGGCCAATATTTTCAACCGTCGCCAGGCCTTCAAAGACCTGCCCGAACCGGGCTTGATGGGTGGCATCGTTCCGGTCGCGCCAATCAATCGACTGTCGATGCTCAGTGATTACATTGATCCGGCGGAACGGGCTGGTCGCATGCCCGAATCAGGATGTGGTGTACGGCGCGGGCAGCATCGCGCTGGATCTGGAACCGGTCGTGCTGCAAGTGCCGGACTTCGGCAGCCGTTTTTGGGTGTATCAGGTGGTGGATCTACGCTCCGATAGCTTTGCCGAACTCGGCAAGATGTACGGCAGCAAACCCGGCTTCTATCTGCTGGTTGGCCCTGACTGGAATGGCAAGGTGCCTGCGGGCATCACCAAAGTCTTTCGGGCACGTACCAGCACCGGCTTCGTGATTCCCCGAGTGTTCCAGGACGATACCGCAGCCGACCGCACAGCCATTCAAGCGTCGCTGTCGGGCGTGGACATGTACCCGTTGTCGCAATACGACGGCAAGATCAAACACCGGGACTGGGCGAAACTGCTAAAATTCCCCGCGCAGGCGGCGGGCAGCGGCGAAACCAAATGGGTGATGCCGGAGAAATTCTTCGACGAGTTGCCGGCGCTACTTAAGGACGCCAAACCGTTGCCGGGCGAAGAAGCCCGTTACGCGCAAATGGCCTCCCTCGCGGCCATCGCCAAGGCTGATCCGCAACTGAAGGCGGCGATGATCGATGAAGCGAAAAAGCCGACAGCGAAGTGATCGATCCGCTGTTGCAGTTCCGCAACTACGGCCTGCAACTGCCGGATCACTGGAGCACCATCAGCAACGGTGCAGCGTTTGGCACCGACTACTTCAGCCGAACCGCCGTGGCGCGCTCGAACATCTTCGTCAATCAACAGAAAGAGACCAAGTACTTCTATCAGGACCTAGACAAGTCCGGCACGCGTCTCAATGGGCAGAACAGCTACTCCGTGACCTTTGCCAAGGGACAACTGCCGCCGGTGAAAGGCTTCTGGTCGCTGACGCTGTACAACGAGCAGCACTTCTTTTCCCCGAATGACCTCAAGCGCTACTCAATCGGCACCAAGAACAAAACCCTGTAAGCCAATGCCGATGGTTCGCTGACGATTTACGTGCAGAGCGAATCACCGGGCAAGGACAAGGAAAGCAATTGGCTGCCAACCCCCAAAGGCGCCGATTTCTCACTGTACATCCGAGCTTACTGGCCTGAACCGGCTGCGCTGAATGGCCAGTGGGTGCCGCCAGCCGTAGTTAAAACCAATTAACAGGAACAGGGACGTTCGCGATGAACACATTTGCAAAATCACTGACTGCAACGGGCCTGGCCTTGTCGATCAGCCTCGGCGCCCAAGCCGCCACGCACTATGAGCAGTTGGCCGATCTGCCGCTTGCCGGCGGCTACCCGACACTGGAGGGCGTGGCACAACTGCAAAACGAATTGCTGTTCCAGCGCGCCGTGCAGTCGTACATCTGGGCACTGCCGGCGTTGAACATGTACGCCATGAAAGAAGGCTCGGAAAAAACCTTCGGTGCCGGCTACAACGTGCTGCCGATCTGGAAGGATCGCCTCAACGCCAAGACCCGCGTCACCACGCCCAATTCCGACGTGATCTATGCCATGGGCTATCTGGATCTCAAGCAGGACGGCCCGATGGTGATCGAAGTCCCGCCAGGCTTGCAGGGCATTCTCGATGACTTCTTCCAACGGCCGATCTGCTCCGAGGGCCAGATCGAAGCTCGCCAATGGTGTGGTGATGTCGGGCTGCCGGGACCGGACAAAGGCAAGGGCGCCAAGTATCTGGTGCTGCCACCGGACTACAAGGGCGAGGTACCGCCGGGCTACCTGACTTACCGCTCGCGCACTTACGGTGTGTTCGTGTTCTGGCGCGGATTCTTCAAGGACCCGAAACAACTGGAGGCACCGGTCGCAGTCATGGAGCAGACGCGCATCTATCCGCTGGGCAAACAGGCCACGGCCAAAGCGATGGAATTCCCCAACGCCTCGAAAACTCCGGTCAACATGCTCTACCCCTCCGACGGCGGTGCGTTCGACATGCTGTCGCGGTTCATCGATCACGAATACGTTGACCCGCAAGACATGGAAATGCGCGGCATGCTCGCCGCTCTGGGCATCGTCAAAGGCAAACCGTTCAAACCGGAGCCTGCCACCCGCGACCTGCTCGACAAGGCAGCGAAAACCGCGAGCAAGATCGGCCATGCCATTTCTTACACGCCGCAAACCATTGTCGCCAATGGCACCTGGTATCCGGATCGCAAGTGGTTGAACGTATTCCCCGGCAATGCGACGTTCACCGCCGACACCTTCAATTACATCGACCCGCGCACCGGTTTTTTCACCAATGCCTACTCGGCGAGTCCGGGCATGGCGGTGAACATGGAAAACGTCGGTGCCAAGTACCCGGCCACTTTCGTCGATGCCAAAGGCCAATTCCTTTCTGGCAGCAACAGCTACTTGCTGAACCTGCCCAAAGGCATTCCTGCGGCGTTGTTCTGGTCGGTGACGGCGTATGACTCGATCACCGCATCAGGCCTGGATAACGGCCAGCCGTTCCCGTCGCTGAACACCATGGACAAGCCCGTCACCAACGCCGACGGCTCGATCGATGTGCATTTCGGCCCGAACTCACCGGGCTCCGGCAAAAACTGGATCAAAACCCTGCCGGGCGAAGGCTACTTCGTGATTCTGCGGTTATATGGCCCGACCAAGGCGTTCTTCGACAAGGCATGGAAACCGGGGACTTGATCAAACAATGATCTGAGATGCGTCTGGACGACATGAGTACATTAATGCACTCATGTCTTCGGCATTCTTAACCGACAGCTTTAGGTCGACTGCAGCCCTTCGCAAGAGGCAGCAATCGGCCAATTGCGGCCGCTCGTGGCAGCAACCTGCGAAAAATGTAAATTCGCCTAAGCTAATTTTCAGTGCGTTCTTAACTCGATTACCACAATCGTAAAAATCATCATCGTCCGCCTGAAAGAGCCTCCTGATGACTACAAGAAGACTGATTGGCGTTCTTGCCTTACTTACTGCTTTTACCGTGAACGCTGATGACGGCGGCATTAGTTTCTGGCTCCCGGGCCAATTCGGTACGCTGGCGGCGGCGCCAACTGCCCCAGGCTGGAGTCTTCCACTTGTCTATTACCACGTTAACGCCAGCGACGGCGGCAGCAAGCCATTCCCCAGAGGGGGCGAACCACACTTGGGTTGGATGCAAAAGCTGATCTGCTGTTTGCCAGCCCGACCTACACATTCACCGAACCGTTGCTAGGGGCTCAAGCTGCAATCTCGATGGTAGCCGCCGTTGGGAAATCCGAAGCGAGCGTGGATGCGACATTGACCGGTCCCCGTGGCAGAAGCTTTTCCGGTGGAGCGAACGACAGTTTGAAGGGTGCAAGCGACGTCTACTTGTTGGGCACTCTGAAATGGAACTATGGCGTTCACAACTTCATGGCTTACAGCATGGGTAACCTGCCAGTCGGCGCGTAAGACCCGGATCGATTGGTGAACATCGGACTTGGCCAGGCATCGCTTGACGCCGGCGGTGGATACACATATTTCGACAAAACCAACGAGTTTTCCGTCGAAGCGGGCCTGACCTACAACTGGGAGAACCCAGATACCCATTATAAAATGGCGTAGATGCTCACGTGGACTGGAGTGCCTGCACTTCATCACAGGCCAGACTCAGTTAGGCGTGGTTGGTTACTTCTACAATCAGATCACAGGGGATAGCGGTAGCGGTGCCACCTTGGGCGACTTCAAATCAAAAGTCAGCGCCGTAGGACCCTAAGCCGGGCATTTCTTCAAGGTCGGCAAAGACCTCTGGTACGTCAACCTAAAAGGCTACTACGAGTTTGATGCAGAGAATCGGCCAGAGGGCTGGAACACCTGGTTATCCTTGGTCATACCTCTGTCTGGTTAGTTATATACGCAACGGTCTCCTTTGGGTCGAAATCCGCTGCTCATGAAGGGCAGCCACCGGCCAGAAGTGGTCATTCAAATGAGCTCACTAGACTCACTGTTACTGATCTGTTCGATCAACACTCCCCGTTGCGTGTCTGACCCGGGCCAATCAGGCTCGCCTTGTAGCGAAACTCAATCCATAAGCTACATTTCTGTAATCCAAAAAAAGAAAGTGTTCTGTCTTGGTGTTTCGAACATATCGCTGCATAGGCACGGTCGGGTCCACAAGGCTACAAAGAGACGGCTTTCGCAAGTATGTCCCGATGTTCTCGCATGACATCAACGCCCGGATACTCCATATTCCGCATAGCAAGGAGCGATATATGCAAGTTCGAATTATGCAAACTGCTCCTGATCCTGGCCATCTTGGGCTGACGTTGACCGCAACTGCCGGGGGAGGCGAAAACGCAAACGGTGACGGCAGCCAACTTTGCTCGTGCTGAATCAGATACTGTACTTCAGCAATTCGTCAGGACGGTGGCTTCGGCAAATCAGCCACACGCGCGAGTTGGCGTCCATCGATCACCAGACCGTGATTCGGTTGGAACCGTGACACTTTGTACTCGTTTGGCGTATCTGACCTTGAGGCTTCACCGGCACCCGTACCCCCGCCCGGGATGCAGGAAAGCGCCATATGGCGCTGCGTCATCAGCGAAGATCACTATGCCCCCGAGGTGTTTTACGCACTGGGCAAAACATCATCACCTCGGGCGTGGAGCAAGTCGGAACACGCTACGTGGCTTTGGCGATTCGTACCTTTGTCGACCCCAATAGCGCGGCGGATCTCAAGACTGTGCACGAGCTGCAGTGACGCGGTGAAAGCTGGGGAGTCTGTCGGAACCTTCGTCGTTCCCAGAGTGGGACGCCGCCTCGCGGGACAAAATGCAAAGCGTTGCTTAGCGTGGTCGAGGCTGCCGGGTGGATCGATTCGGATCGCATGTTCGGTAGCAAAGGAACAGGTCGACCGGGGGGACCCAGGAACCGCGGGGGCTGGGCGGAAACCCCGAACTGCTGCGATGTACACGGGGGCAGCTCCGGCTCAGAACGATGGCAAGACTGCCTACGCACTCACAGTCAAGAACGTCCCGGGAGACGGTTTTTATATCGGCAAAAGTTTATAAGTCAAGTCCGGATTCTTCTGAGAAAACCCCGCAGATCGCCTACACCGTCAACAACGTCACGGCGAAACCGAACGCCGATGGCTCGCGGACGATTCACTTCGGTGGCGGCGATACCACTGCGGTGAACTACCTGCCGATCATGCCAGGATGGAATTACCTATTCCGGATGTGGTATCGCTCGCAACAAGCTGTTCTGGACAACAGCTGGAAAGTGCCACGACGCAGCGCAGCAGGCAACGCCCACCTCCTCGATTGGACTAAGCGGGCGCTCAACTTTTCAGCAGTGGTTTCTTTAGGGCGATTTGTCGAAGATCGTCACGGAGCCGATTGCTGGCAAACATGGTGGGCGAAAAAAAAAAAAAAAAAAGACGCATGAGTGTAATGTGTTCTCTTTAAAACGGGATCACCCTGCCAGATTTGATCTGCATCCGCTGCTGCTTTGGCCGTCTATATTTGATCATTCGACTGACCCTTATTGGCCCAGAGTGTGTAAAAACGTTCCGGTAA